TCATTATTTGGAGAGAAGTAAAACCTGGACCAGTTTATAGCCCAAACCCTGGAGCACAGACAATGCCAAGCACTGGTCACTTCCTCATATATACCTGTTGCAAAAGCATCTGGTCCAAGAAAGATTTATTTACTAAGATAATAAATAAAAAAGGAAAAAAAACTCTTCCAGATTAGTTAGCATACAAGATTAATCCTTAACCTGATAGTTTTAATGTGATGAGAATAGTTAAAAATGATGAAGGATCAAAGGTACCGCAACAAAAGGAAAGGGAGATTTATAATCCTTGCCATGGACAGGTTGAATTCAGTCCCAAAGCTTAATAAGCAAGAAGGAAAAGACATGCAATACTAAATAATAAAATTTATGAGGGAAATACAATCATCAGAGTCCCTAAATATAAAAAATACAACATCAGCATTCATAAAACAAGAGCAAGACACAGGATGAGAATTAAGTGAAAATGTATTAGTGGTAAAATACTTATCTGGACTTTGTGTCTTACAAACAAAATATTACTTTTTAAAATACCTGTGAAACTACCCAAAACTTACCATATATTTGGGCAAATATAAAACCTATTAGTTTCTAAGGTAGAAGTGATACGCATGAATTTCTCTGAGATGATATACAAACATGCAACTTAATTCAAACCTGGAAAACACAGGAAGACTGCCTTCTATAAGTTGAAAATGTTACATTTCAACTTGTCTTTGATCAAGGAAATTCAAAATAAAGTTTCCATTGCTTTCTTCCTTCTTCCTACAGCTTTGTTGATGTATAATTGATAATTTATGAAATGTGCAAATGTAATGTATACAATTTGCTACTTTGATATATGTATATGTTGTGAAATGATCACCACAATCAAGGTAAGGAATCCATTGCCTCACACAATTGCCACTACTGTTACTATTATTGTGTGTGGTAAGAACACTTAGTACTCAAATTTCTAGTACAGGTAGTATTACTGATTATAGTAACATCATTGTGCATTAGCTGTCCAGAATTTATTCAGCTTGGATAATTGCAACTCTGTAGCCTTTGGTGACCATTGCTTCATTTCCCATGGCTGCTTCCCCTGGCAACCACTATTCTACTTTCTACATCTATTAATTTTACTATTTTAGATTCCACAATAAGTGAGGTCAACAGTATTTGTCATTCTAGCTTATAGCATTTAGTATAATGTCGTCCTCCAGGTTCATTCATGTTGGTACCAAAGGCAAGATTTCTTTCATTTTTTAAAAATCTTTAACATGTCTATTTGTTTATGAGAGGGAGAGGGAGTTCTTCCACCCACTGGTTCACTTCCCAAAAGACCACAAAATTCAGTGCGGAGCCAGGCCAAGCCAGAAGCCAATAACTAACTCAGCCTGGATCCATCACGTGGATGTCATGGGCCTCAGCATTTGAGCCATTGTCTGCTGCCTCCTAGGATGTATTAGCAGGAAGCTGGTTCATTCGTGGAGTAGCTAGGACTGGAACCACATGGGAACAGGTGTCAAACAGGAATATAACCCATTACACCACAATACCTGCCCTACTAGTTATATTGTTCATTCTTTTGAGAAATTGCATAGAGTTTTTAATATTGGCTATACCAATTTATATTCCTATGGCATGTATTTTGGTTTCCTTTTCTCTATATCCTTGTCAGCTCTTGTTACCTTTTGTCTTTTTGATAATATCTTTTGACATATGTAAGGTGCTATCTCGTTATGGTTTTGATTTCCGTTTCCCAGGTGATTAGTGCTATCATGTACCTTTTCACATGACTGTTGGCCTTTTGTAAATCTTTTCTTCAGAAATGTCTGTTCAGGTCTTTGGCTCATTTTCAAAATATGGATATTTGAGGGTTTTTTTATATTCAGTTGTATGATTTCCATATATATTTTAGATATTTGTCACTTATGGATATAGATTTTGAAAATATTTCTTCCCCCTCTGTAGATGGCTTTTTCACTCTGTTGTTTCCTTGCTGTGTAGCAGTTTATAGTTTGCTACAAACAATCCCAATCATCTATTTTGTTGCTCCTATTTTTGGGAACTTATTCAAAAAGTCATTCACAGACTTATGTCCTGTGATTTCTCTTAGCAATGTATAGTTTCAGGCTTTATGTTTAAATCTTTAACCCGCTTTGAGTTGGTGTGAGGTTCCAAGATCATTTTTCTGTATGTGGCTACCCAGGTTTCCGAATACCATCTTCTGAGGAAACTAGTCTTTCCCTGTTGTGAGTTTTGATACCACTGTTAAAGATCAAATGATAGACTGTAGCCTTGTTTTTTTTTGTTTTTTTAAAGATTGATTGATTGATTTGAAAGGCAGAGTTATACAGAGAGGGAGAAAGAGAAGGACATACAAAGATTTTCCATCTACTGCTTCACCCCAAATGGCTGCAACATCCAGGTCTGGGCCAGGCTGAAGCCAGCTTTCTGGAACCCTATCTGGGTCTCCGACATAGGTAGCAGAGGCCTAAGTATTTGGGCCATCTGACAGTGCTTGCTCAGGTGCATTTACAGTGAGCTGGAGGGGAAGTGGAGCAGCCTGGTATTGAACTGGTGCTCATATGGGAGGCTGGTGTCACAGATGGTGGCCTAACTGGCACTACAATGCCAGACTCTTGGATTTCTTTGGAGGCTCTATGTCCTGTTCCATTGGTCTATATCTCTGTTTATGCTGGTACCATACTATTTGGATTACAATATATTTGTAATATATTTTGAAATCAGGAATGCACTCCCTCTTCCTCCAAACAGAAATTTTGTTTGGAAGAGTCTCTTAGAGTTCATAGGTTTGAGAGTGTTTTAAACATTGTCATTTTGGTTTGTTTATATTTTGTGATTTTTTTTCTATGATGATCATATATTACCTGGTAGTAATTAAAACCATATGTTAAAATAGTGACATGCATTACATTAAAATAGTAAAAAAGAGGTCCAGCTTGAAAAAAAATTCTATATGAAAAAATGGGAATATTTTTTCAATTTATTATCTATTGGAATTTATAGTAAATAATTTAAGTAATTAATCCATGAAATAAATTTGTATAACTGCATGATCAGTGATTAATTAAGAAAGAGAATAAGGCAAATCAAATATTCAGTTTGGAAAATTTAAGACTAAGAAACAAATCAGAAAAGTTTAGAGGGAACATTATTTAGAGAGAAAATCCTTATCCTTTGCATGTGAAAAAAGAAAAAAAAAAGAAATGCATTAACAAGGATTGTATAAAGACAACCATAAATCAGAAAAACTGAAAAAGTCATAAATATGAAATATGTTCTCTGGAAAATAAAGTACATAAACTCTTAACTAGCATCAGTAAAGAGAAAATACAGAATGCAGAAAGTAGCATGGAAATAACTAATGATAATAAGTAAAAACATGACACTCTTTTCTCAAACTTTTGCAAGGGAATTTGAAATTTCTAGTGAAATGAATAATTCATGGTTTTCCAAGAAATATTTCTTGGAAAAATACAAAATATAGAGAAAACTCTAGTAAGCCAATTAGCAAAAGAAAAATTGGGAAAAAAAATGATGAAGAGAATCCCTAAAGAAATTCCAGGTCACAGGTACATTAACAGGAGAATTATTTCAATGTTTTAAGAACAAATAATTCTAATGGCAGACAGTTGTAGACAAGGATATCTTTCAAACCATTTTATTTTCAAGTATATATCAAAATCCAAAAAATGTAGCACAAAAAGAAAACTTCACTCCAATCTCAGTTATGAATATCAATGCAAATGCCTTAATTTAGTAGAAAACTAAATCCAATAGCACATTTAAGAATGCCACATCCAAACCAAGTGGGATTTATTTTAATAATGCAAGGAGAAAATGATGTTATTATTTCCCTAGACTGTAAGTGCCATTTTTGTTTGACAATTAAAACAAATCTCATAAGGACTTGCCATGGAGAGTGGTGTATTCAAAAACGTCTCTAAATTTGCCCCCTCCCAATATTTCCTTAAAATTACAATAAAGATATGTTTTTAAAGTGAAACCCAAAACTAAGAGAAAAAAAGAGAGGCGACATGAGAGAAAACTGACTTAGCATACACAAGAAAACTAAATCCTAAGCCAATCATAGAGAAAGCCAAACACAGATTTCAGTTTAGCATTAAGAGTTCTCAAAAGTTTTAGGATTTGGAAGTGCCTGATATCTTTGAAAAGAGGATAAAGGAATAGTAGCTACAATAAGAAAGATGGAGTAAGAGCTATTTAAGAAGAAGCTATGCTCAATCCCGTGTTTCTCAGTGACTCTTTCTCCCATTCCAAAGACAGGACATAATTGAGAGCAGTGAATCTGTACTGGAAACAAGGAAACTGTGTGGTGCTATGAGAGGCTCATGCTGACAAGTCCTGGTTTTTCCCCTTTTCACATCTCAGAATACTGGTTGCTTGAACTCTGGCATCTTAGCAGGGAGATTTGGAAAGTCTTCACTGAGAAATCTGACCAGCTCAGCGTCCTCCCCTTATTGAGATGGAGCAGTTCTGAACAATGAACCTCAAATATCTCAATCCATGTTCTCAGCTTCCAAAGCACTCTTAATTCCTAACTCTAAAATGCTAGCAGACAATCACGGATATCCTGAAATTTGAGGAATGCCCCCAAGAAGGAATTTTAATGCAAACACAAAACAAAACCGAAAGCCAACTAAACGAGAAATAAAACAGAAAATTTCTAGGGATAAATAAGCTCTGTAAAGTTAATACTTTCAGAGTTAAGATAAGACAGTGTCATTATAAAATCAAAACAAAATACTAAAAAAAATTAAGAGATAAGCAGAAGCTGTTGGGTTAAACATATAACAGAAATGAAGGATACACTATAAAAGTAGGAGGTGGGCAAACCCCCATGCCAGTTTGCCTTGGGCTCTGAGAGAGTCTTGTGTCCTGGGAATACTCTTTCCTGCATCACTGTTGTTGGAAGATAAATAAACTTCTCAAGCTGTTGAAAAAAGGCAAAAAGATGAAAATTAAAGGATTACCTCGATTGCTCAGCATCCAGAAAGAGAAGACAGAAAATGGGAAAGGAAACAATTTCAGAGCATTTTCCAAAACAACAGGCAAATTTCACAATTTCTAGGGCATCACCAAGTTCCTCCCATAGTGGATGAACACACACTCATCTCAAGGCACATTTTGGGGGAGTTTTCAGATTACTAGAAACAAAAATACCTTGTGTTCTTGCAGAGAGAGAGAGAAAGAGCGATAACAGGCAAAGTATCAGTGTCCTATACAAATGATCAGAATGAACTGTTAGGTTTCTCAACCACACTGCACAGTAGAAGTCTGTGTAAAAATATTTTCAAAATTCTGAAGGCGATTATTTTCCAACTTAACATCTGAACATTTTAATGTAATAATAGAACACAGTGATTTCTCAACAAATTGTCAAAAGTTTGCTTTTAATACTCTGTTTTCCCAAGAAGCTCCTTTAGGGCCTAGTAAATATTAGAGGAATCCAAGGAAAAGTGACATAGGGTTCTGGACACAGGAAATTGAACACAAGAGGTAGAGAAAATTTCCAGGGTACTGGGCAAGTGCCCTGTAGGGCAGTACCTTGTAAGAAGCACAGGAGACTGCAGCACAGAGCGAGCACATGCTCCCCGTGGCATCCACGCTGAGCACGTGGCCCCCGAGCAGCCTTTCCTGTGTGTGCTCTGCCGCAGCTGGAAGGGACTCAAGTGAGCCTGGCCAGGGTTTGTGGCTCTCCCCATCCTGTCCAAGTGCTGACAAAATTCTGCTCTCCCTCCTTGCCCAGCTGCTGGAATAACCTGTAGACACCACCTCATCCTACAGAATCTTCAGGTTTGTTCTCAGTCCTGAGTGTGGGAGACTGAGCACATGAGCGTAGTAAGTGTAAAATGCAGAGTTGCCCACCTTCTCCAACTATTTCCCTCCTAAATGTAGAGCACTTGACTTCACCAGATCCCACTTGTGGCAAAACCTTGCTTCCTGTGGGCCAGGGTCACTACAAGAGTGTATGTTGAGAATGGGTTCTTGAACTTTGTGAGAAAAAAAAAAAAAGGTCTGAATATAAACCAGAGATTGTCCAGGCTGCCTTTATCTAAGCACCTTCAGGTATCAATAACAATGCTGTCCTCTTCTTACAGTTAGTCTTGTACTCTTAACTCTGTTTTCATGCTAATCACATTACATGCTAATTAATAAAAGTAACTGTTGCTAAAATAAAATATGGGATTTAAATACATTTTAATTTTATTTCTCAATCTCATCAATCACCATCTTTAATGGACAAATACTACATGTGCCCCATTTAGGGTGCCCACTAACATAACTATTGTTTCACAATGTCAGTTATTTGCTGATGAAATGTGACAAAAAAGAAGCAAAACTACACCTGGCAAAGAGGAGATAAACTTATTACTCTGTTAAGTGACTTGATATGTTAAGTGATACATCTAGCACTTCCAAGAGAATGAACAGCATGATAATTATAATCAGATGGATGTGTCTTGTTTGAACATCAATAGCATTCACATACAGATAGAGGAATGTTCCACAATTTTTGTTAAATAAAAAAGATACAGAATATTGCATAGAGGATGTTATCTTCTCATAGTAAATGTAAATAAATGTATACTTGCAATAGGTGTTAAATAATAATATATTTCTATTTGCCCTATATGTAATAGAAACATTTGCAGATCAAACAAGAACACAGTAAAAATGACAAAAGCTTAGTCAAAGTACAGACAAGTGAAACTCCTAATCTTGCAAACATAAAACCGTAGAATTATAATTTTTACCTGCCACATCTTTTCCAAGCAAGCTTGGAAATCATTGCTTAAAAATATATAAAATGAGACTTTTTGGATACAACAAACACATTCAGTGTAAATTTTAGAAAGTCAATTGATGACTTAAAATATGGATCTGGTGATCTGAGTTTAACTTACATAAAAATATTAATTACAGTTTTAGCAGCTGAATTCGTCGATTAGCTGGATGTCATTTGAGGCAGTTTGCATCATTTTATATTAAATTTCCATTTTACACAAAGCCAAATACATTTATTCATTGCTGAATCAGCAAAAAATAATAGAAGACATTATTGAACTCAGAAAACTATTGCATACTTTTGAAAAGTCAAACAGACCTGCATTAAGCACACACTGTATTCCATATCACACTTGCCTTAGTGACCACAAAGGTGAATTAAGCAGGTTTCATGTCATAGAGTTCATATTCTGAGAGCTTTTACTGTAGGGTCATCACTTTCAATTTCTTTTCTTTTTGTTTTAAAGATTTATTTATTTGCAAGTCAGAGTAATAAAGAGAGAGAGAAAGAGATGTTTTATTACCTAGTTCACTTCCCCAAATGGTTGCAATAGCCAAGTGAGGGCCAAATGGAAGCCAGGAGGCAGGAACTCCATGCTGATCCCCACATACATGGTAGGGGCCCGAGTACTTAGACCGTCATTCGCTGCATTACTCTGTGCCATAATGCTGGCCCCTCAACTTACTTTCTCAATTTTAGAAATATAATCTATGCTTATAGATTGCTGAAAACATAACTATTTTTAGATCTATACTTAGAGGGATGGCTGTTTTGCAGCTTTTTGGTGTAGCCTCAAGAAATCTCACTCTTCAATTTTCTTACTCCATTCTCAAAATGTATGGCCTCTTTATTTTATATTTTTTAAAGATTTCATTTATTTATCTGAGAGGCAGAGTCACAGACAGAGAGGAAGAGACAGAGAAAGGTCCTCCATCTGCTGGCCCACTCCCTAATTGGCCGCAATGGCCATAGCTGGGCCTACCAAAGCCAGGAGCCAGGGGCCTCCACTGGGTCCCCCCACACAGGTGCCGGGGCCCAAACATGTGGGCCATCCTCCACTGCTCTCCCAGGCCACAGCAGAGAGCCAGATTGGAAGAGGAGCAGCCGGGTTATGAACCAGAACCTATAAGGGGTTCTGAAGCCTCAGGCAAGGCCCAGGCCACCATGCCACGGTACCTGCCCCATATGGCTTCCTTTAGTAGTTCCTACTTCCTCAGCATCTCCATCTGCTTTCCATGTTAATGACCCTCTTACTTAAGACCTCTTTACAGTCCCTTATAGCACTGAATTCATCTAATTGCTGCAGGACAATCCCATTCACTTTTCTCTAGATTGATCTCTCCCGGCTCCCTTATCTATGCTAACTTATCTCCGTAATTTTTTATGCCACCAGCTGAATCTAGTTTTTCTGCCCCTCTTCTTGTGTGTCTATATCTTCTGGAGTGCATTCCACTTTCTTCCCTGGTTCCCTGCATACCAAATCACAAGCATCTTTAAATTAATATCCACTGCTGGGGCTGGTGCTATGGCGTAGTAAGCTAAGCCTCTGCCTGCGGTGCCAGCATCCCATATAGGCACTGGTTCATGTCTGGCTGCTCCACTTCCCACCCAGCTCCCTGCTGATGGCCTGGGAAGGCAATGGAATATGGCCCAAGTCCTTGGACCCCTGCACTTGCATGGGAGACCCGAAAAGAAACTCTTGGCTCCTGGCTACAGATCTGCTCAGCTCCAGCTATTTGGAGAGTGAACTCGTGGATGGAAGACCTTCTTCTCTCTCTCTCTCCCTCTCTGTGTCTATAAGTCTACGTCTCAAATAAATAAATAAATTTTTAAAAAATATCCACTGTTTCCCACCTTTTCTGTGATGCTTTGTCTAACCCCAGCCACCCCTCATTGGATGGGCTCTCTCCTTCCTTATACATTTCTCCTCACTACTTTCAACAATTTTTTTGAAAAAAATTTACTCTTCAAATAATTTTCTCAAAAAAATACTTCAGGAGACATTCTGCAAATTCTTGCTTTATTATGCAAGAGAGCAAATGGGGCACCTAGAGAGATTATTGAAAGAGCAAAAGATACTCTATGAAAGCAGGTGTCCCACCTCCTCCCTAGGACAGGCTCTTATTACTAGCTATTCATTCTGACTTATGTCTACACTAGATCTAAATCCAAGTGTGCCTGACTTGTGTGCACTAATGTACTCTTTATGCCTTTCTCCTTCCCAGGGTGTGACAGTCCCTCACAAGCCTGTCTCCCTCCATCCTTTGTATCAGACTAAACTCTATCCTCCTGCTAAGTCTCTGCTGCATTCACAGAACCTTCCCCATGCTGAGTGTCTTACCCCCGGACCCTTCAGTCATGTGTCCTCCTTCTCCTTGACTGATGAGCAGAGGAATTCTCCCACCCTCCTTAGTCACAGCACATATAACAAGGTGAGAATTTCCTGTGCTTTGAAGCTTTACAATGCTTAACTTAAAACTAAATGTGGAGGATTACATATATTGCAGATACTTAAATATTTAATTTTTAAATGTATTAAGAATATTAAATATGCATACTAAAGAATATTACTTTACAAGGAGATCATTATTGACCTTGGGAAGTAAGAAAAATGTCTTTCCTTTCAAAGTCATTGCCCAATTTGTGCTCTTCATTGTTTCATATTCTGACTCTAATGTGAAAATTCCAAGAAATTTTCTGAAATCTTATAATATGCCACTATTAGTTTATGTTCTAGTCTCAGTTCCATGTTCTTAAAAAGCTTCTTCAAATTATAGTGCATTGATGAAGAGGCACTTAAAATTATTAAATGGGCAAAGGAGTATTTAGAATTTACTGCAGGTTCCTACAATCTTACATTAACCTTTTATTTTAAAATTTACCTTGCTGCTTCATAGTGTATACCAAAGGATATGTAAAAGAAATGAAGAATTCAAAACCTGTGTTTCAAACGTGTATGTGTGTGTGTGTGTGTGTGTATGGAACAATACAAGTAAAATGATATTTATAGTTGGCTTTGGAATGTAATCTTGTATGGTGCATTAAAAAAAACAAGCTGTTGAAACAACATGTCGTTTATGTATAAGTGCCCTTTGCTCTTCCGACCATTGCCATAGGATATCCTGATTAGTCCTGACCTTCAGATCCTGAAAATTTTCTAAAAGAATTTCCTGGTCAAGTTCAGCCTCCAAACAAGTATTTCTATAAAATTTAAAAATATTTAAAAGCTTTTACTTTGCAAATTATTTGTATCTAATTAAATTAGATAAGTATATCTCTGTACTTGAAATCAGTGAAAACCATCTTCTAGGGTATAGTTGAGGAAAATTCCTTGAGCATTTAAACGTAGTCTTTCATCTAAATCAGCTTCTTCCAATATCTTAATGCTTTTCTCAACCTTACATCTATTCTGATATTACAGCTCTACACATGGGCTGTTCAAACTCAAATCCCAGCCCCACCCGAAGAACCAAGCTGAACTTGCTTAACTTGTCAATTTTAGGATCCTTCATCAACTGGAGCTATAGAAGGTGTTTAAAACTTTGTATTGTTCTGTTGAAACTGCAATGCATTCTTCTAAATCTTCACCCAACTCCTCATATCCTAATTTTTCATTCCAATTTCTCACCCCTTTTCTTCCTTTAAGCTTTGTAGAACTCTACATATAGTGTCACATCATACTGTATGATGATGTTTGAGCACTTTCCTTTTCGTCTCAGTATAAAGCAGTATATTCACTTTTTTTTTCTTTTTCAGGAAGGTAGTAATTTCTCTTATTTCTTCTTTAATCCTTAAACAGTGATGATAGTATGATGCCTCTGGTGACTCTAGGTTCACTTCTTGACCCAGATATTGGACAAATCATTTAGCCTCTGCATGCCTATGTTTATTCATCTTTAAAATGGGAATGATAATAGTATCACCTTACCAGACTAGTGACAGAATAAGATGTAGTAGTCAGAGTAAAGCATTTAAAAAGGAGAGATCAACCCAACATGGGAAGCAGGATACACAGCAGACTCATAGAATGGCAGATGTCCTAAACAGCACTATGGCCTCAGAATCAGCCTTAAGGCATTCGGATCCGGATTAAAAGCCCATTTCAGGCATGGAAAGCCAAGGCACTGTGGCAAAAAAAAAAAAAAATAATAATAATAATAATAATTACCTAAATGAAAGATCTCTGTGAGTGAGATCCCAGTGGAAAGAATGGGCCATCAAAGAAAGAGGTACCTTTCTCTGAAGGGAGGAGAGAACTTCAACTTTGACTATGGCCTTGTCTAAATAAGATCAGAGTTGCGAACTCAAAAGGCTTCCATAGCCTTGGCAACTCATGACAAGAGCCTTGGGTGATTACTGACGTCATAAATAAGAGTGTCAATTGTTAAATCAACAACAGGAGTCATTGTGCACTTGCTCCCCATGTAGGATCTCTGTCCTTAATGTGATGTACTATGTGAATTAATGGTATAACTAGTACTCAAATAGTACTTTATACTTTGTGTTTCTGTGTGGGTGCAAACTGTTGAAATCTTTACTTAGTATATACTAAATTGATCTTCTGTATATAAAAAATTGAAAATGAATCTTGATGTGAATGGGATGGGAGAGGGAGTGGGAGATGGGATGGTTGTGGGTGGGAGGGAGTTTATGGGGGGAAAAAGCCGCTATAATTCAAAAGTTGTACTCTTAGTTTTTATAATGATGCAACATTTATTATATATATTTAAATAAAAAATAAAATAATTATAGAAATGCAACGTAAAGGAATTGATTTTGCAATAAATGCCAGTGTCTACAAATGAAAAAAAAGGAAATTTATATTTATTAAACATAAGTTAAAAAAGAGTAAAGCATTTAGAAAAGTGACTGAAAAATAATAAGAACCATATAAAGATTAGGTTTTAATATTTCTAAACCTTTGGGTGTTATCATTCCTATCATTCTCTTGAGTCTTCATTAAATCTTTCTAAATTGGATACCTCCCCTTCATCTGCAGGATCCTAAAAATCAATTAAAATGGGGGCCTGTGCTGCACTGGGTGTAGTGGGTAAATCCCACTGTTTGTTTTGCTGGCATCCCATATGTGTACTGGTTTGAGTCCCAGCTGCTCTGCTTCCAATCCAGCTCCCTTCTAGTTTATCTGGAAAAGCAGCCAAAGCTGGTCCAAGTATTTGGGCTGCTGCACCCAGTGGGAGACCTAGAAGAGGATCCTGGCTCTTGGCTTCAGATCTGCCCTGCTCTGGCCATGGTAGCCATTTGGAGAGTGAACCATTGGATGGAAAATCTCTCTCTATCTCTCTGTCTTTGTAACTCTGCCTTTCAAATAATTAAATAAATAAATCTTTTAAGGAAATGTAAAATGATCACTTTACCATCATTTTCTTTGATGCTGCTGCCTAAAATCGCTAAAAATAGCAATTTCAAAATTTTCTTTCTTTCACAGTGGTCAGTAGCCAATGGTTCCATTCCCTTTCAATAAACTCACTCTTTAACCCCTTTAAAAAGCCCTTTTTTATCCTAACCACTCTATGAAATTGCTCTGTCAAGGATAAACTGCTTGTCAGCAATTCAGTCGAATTTCCCCAATCCTCCATCTCTTTTATAGCTCTGTATCAATTGACACAGTTGGTCATTCTGTCTCAAATTTCTGTCCTCACTCTGCTTTGGGATTTTATGTGCATTCCAACTCCGGAACTAATCTTTCATTGATTTCTTTGTGGACAGTTATTGCTTCTCTACTCCTCTTTCTAATTGCCCCACTTCAGATATGTATCTACTTGCAATCTTCAAATGATTATCTTAGTACTGATGTCTCAAAGCCACATTTCCAATTTTGTTTCTCAATGAGATTCAGTATGGCTTGCTTATCATTTTCCCTAGGTTGTCATGTTGTCAACTCACTATTCATTTTGCCTCAAACTAGTACAGCAATAGCTTCCCTACTGCTGTCATTAATATCATCATTCTCAGTCCCTAAAGTCAAAACTGAATTCATTTATCATGTTTCATGCTTTTTCAGCTTTGTCCTTACAGCTAGATATTTGCCAAGTTGAATGAATTCTTCTTTTGCAATTACTATTTTGTTATCTCATACTGTTCACTATTATTATTTTACTTTACTTAAACTTTTCTACTTATTTTCCTCTGGACATGCCCTGGTAATTCCTTATTCTTCCAGTTATGCATGCATTTTCCCATACAAAATATTCTCTTTTGTTTTACTTACTCCTTGTTAACACAAACTATCCTCACACTTTAAGATCAAGTCAAGTTTTCTTCTTCTCCTATGAAGTTTCTCCATGAATCAACATCGAAAATAATCTTTTTCCCCTCTTTTCAATTTCTATAATCTTCGCCAGTGCCAAGACATCTTATGTGTAAGTTATTGTGTATGTATCTATCCGTTGTGCTTGGCTTGGTGTTTGTCTAGGTTATTACATGATTCATATGGCATTTTCTACCTTGTTGGTGTACGACAAATATATGTTAATGATGAACCAGTCCTAAAATGACCCAGCTTATTTACTATGAGCCCCAGATGCTTGAATAATTATGATTGGTTCTATTTTGATCAGAAAACCAGATCTGAGTCAACGTATGGATTTAGCACATTTAAAATAATTTCAGTTAACTGAGGATTTCTCTTTTGTTGCCAGCTGCATCCAATTTGCAGATGGCATGGGAGCATAGATAGGGTGAGGATGTGGAGGAAGAAGACATCTGGTCTTCTTCTGATGTATGTGGACTCTAACATCCTCTGCAGTGTCCTCTGCAGGGAGCTGGATGGGAAGTGGAGAGCCAGGACACAAACCAACACCCACGTGGCATCATAGGCAGAGGTTTACCCCACTGTACCACAGTGCCAACCACAGTGAATATTGTTAACCTGCATACTGGGAGTAGGTAAACTCTTTGAGGCTGTCTCAGAATCCTCACCTTGGATTACCTCATTTCCTTTTCTGCTCCTCCTTTACACCCCTCAACTTCACCATAAGAAACTCCAGGAGTCCACATTTGTCAGTTTGCCTACTCACGACAATTTATTTTTTTATTTTTTTTTAATTTTATTATTATTTTTTTTTTTGACAGGCAGAGTGGACAGTGAGAGAGAGAGACAGAGAGAGAAAGGTCTTCCTTTGCCGTTGGTTCACCCTCCAATGGCCGCCGCCACAGCCGGCGCACCGCGCTGATCCGATGGCAGGAGCCAGGATCCAGGTGCTTTTCCTGGTCTCCCATGGGGTGCAGGGCCCAAGCACCTGGGCCATCCTCCACTGCACTCCCTGGCCATAGCAGAGAGCTGGCCTGGAAGAGGGGCAACCGGGACAGAATCCGGCGCCCCAACCGGGACTAGAACCCGGTGTGCCGGCGCCGCAGGGTGGAGGATTAGCCTATTGAGCCACGGCGCCGGCTCACGACAATTTATTTTTAA